TTATATGTTTCTAGGAATTTATCCATTTCTTCTAGGTTGTCCAGTTTGTTGGCATATGATTTTTCATAATATTCTCTTATAATTGTTTGCATTTCTGTGGTGTTGGTTGTTATTTCTCCTTTCATTTGTGATTTTGTTTATTTAAGTCCTCTCTCTCTCTCTTTCTTTCTCTTTTATGAGTCCGGCTAGAGATTTATCAATTTTGTTGATCTTTTCAAAGATCTGAACAGATCATTTATCTGTTCTATTGTTTTTTAGTTTTTATATCATTTATTTCTGCTCTAATCTTTATTATGTTCTTCCTTCTGCTGGTTTTGGGTTTTGTTGTTGTTCTTCTAGCTCCTTTAAGTGTAAGTTTAGGTTGTTTATTGGAGATTTTTCTTGCTTCTTGAGGTAGACCTGTATTGCCATAAACTTCCCTCTTAAAATCGCTTTTGCTGCATCCCAAAGATTTTGGACCATTGTGTTTTCATTTTCATCTGTTCCCATGTAATTTTTAAAAATTTATTCTTTGATTTCTTGGTTGACCCATTCACTGTTTAGTAGTATGTTATTTAACCTCCATGTATTTGTGCTCTTTCCAGACCTTTTCTTGTGGTTGATTTCTAGTTTCATAGTGTTGCGGTCAGAAAATATGCGTGGTATGACTTTGATCTTTTTGAATTTGTTGAGACTTGTTTTGCAGCCTAACGATGTGATCTATTCTGGAGAATGTTCCATGTCAAGATCTCTGGCAATCCTGGGACCCAGCCCTACCTGGCAGAAGTTGATTGGAACTGAGAAGCAGGTCCCCCATTTAGGCAGGTGCATGTTCTCCAGTTTGTCACAGGTGTCTCCTTGCCCCCCTCCTCTTTATTACCAGTCTTTGTCATATAGGCATTTGAGCTTGGGACCCCTCCTCTATTCTGGCCTCTCCTTTTAGATCGAGACTAGGGTCTCAGAGGTCCAATTGCTTACTCTATTTGGTTGAACTAGTAAGAGACAAAGGCAGAGCTAGAATTCTTGTCTCCTGGGACATATCCTGTGTTCTTTCTGCTACCAGATGCTGCCTCTTCTTGATAAATGTTTTGAGTGGCTCAGATGGTTAAGCATACAAAGATTTTATTTATTTATTTGAGAGAGAGAGCACAAGCAGGGGAAGTGGCAGGCAGAGGGAGAAGGAGAAGCAGTCTTCCCAACAAGGAGGGAGGCCAATGCAGGGCTCGATCCCAGGACCCTGGGATCATGACCTGAGCCGAAGGCAGACGCTTAACCGACTGAGCCACCCGGGTACCCCTCTTTTTTTTTTTTTTAGATTTATTTATTTTAGAGAGAGTACATGAACGGGGGGAGGGCAGAGGGAGTGGGATAAGCAGACTTCCCACTGAGCATGGAGCTCCATGTGGGGCTCCATCTCACGACCCTGAAATCATGACCTGAGCCAAAACCAAGAGTCAGATCCTTAGCCGACTGAGCCACACATGCACATCCCCCATAATGTCTTTTATAGCAATTCTTTTCTGGATCTAGGCCAGGATCAATTTCATTTATTGTTAGTCACTTTAGCCTTCTTTAACCTGGAACAGTTCCTCAACGTTTCATCCTTCATCCATGGGGCAGTTTTAAAGAGTACAGTCTTTTTTTTTTTTAACACTTTTTTCTTAAGATTTTTTATTTATTTATTTGACAGAGAGAGACACAGCGAGAGCAGGGACACAAGGCAGGGGGAGTGGGAGAGGGAGAAGCAGGCTTCCCGCTGAGCAGGGAGCCCGATGTGGGGCTCGATCCCAGGACCCTGGGATCATGACCTGAGCCAAAGGCAGATGCTTAACGACTGAGCCACCCAGGTGCCCCAAGAATACAGTCTTTTATTTCTCCTATATGTTTCTTCTTCTATTTCTTCTTCTTCTTCTTCTTTTTAAAAGATTTTATTTATTTGAGAGAGAGAGTGTGTGAGAGAGAGCATGAGAAGGGAGAGAGTCAGAGGGAGAAGCAGACTCCCCGCTGAGCTGGGAGCCCAATGTGGGGTTTATAACCTGAGCCGAAGGCAGTCGCTTAACCAACTGAGCCACCCAGGCGCCCCATGTTTCTTCTTTTTATGCGGGTATGCATGTATATTTACACCTATTAACAGTATGGATGCATGAATTCTTTTGTTCAGTGGATTATAATCTATTATTACACTTACATACTGTGATATACAAATTGTGTCAGATTTGGCCTCTTCAAGCTGGCTCCTATGTCTCTTTAATGCCCTAATACTTTTTTTTAGTACTTATTTTCTGGCACAACAAAATATTCCAAACTCCCATGGTATCTTCCTTGCTCCTGCCCAAACTGGAATCAGGGAGGAGCCCTCAAGTGGCCCTGGGCCCTGGGATTTTTATGTGGGATATTTAGAAACCAAGATATGAGAACTAGGTATGTGTAGATCAATCAATCTATCATCTTTTTTTTTCCGCCATAAATTTTACACTGATATGTCCTGTTCCAGTCCAACCGCACAGTTTTTGCTCACTTCTTTCATTCCATATTTGCTCTTCCCTGCTTCCCCAGTGAGAACCCTGGTTCCCAGCAATGTCTGTATGTTTACTTGCATGTTCAATCCCTATACCCAAAATAATTTCAGAATTGCCATTCCACTACCAATATTGTAAACCTACTAAGAACTCAAGATTTGCAGTTCTTTTTTCCTTTAGACAGAGGGTGCCTGAAAGTTACTTGAATTAGTTTTATTTTTTTTCCCCTTTAATGGGGTTACTTTTATTCATCTAAAATAGAGTTAGATTCATTTATTTATATATTTATTATGTATTCCATTGTTTCTTTACACAAGAATGTGAACAACAACCAAGGGACCCTCATTTACCCCTAACCCTCATAGGTAATCAATTTTATTAGTTTGGGGTTTACACTTGTGTTTTTCTTTTCTTTTCTTTTTTAAGATTTTATGTATTTGAGAGAGAGAGAGAGATAGCATGAGAGGTGGGGGTGGGGGGAAGAGGGGTAGAAGGAGAGGGAGAAGCAGGTTCCCCACCAGCAGGGAGTCCAATGCGGGGCTCGATCCCAGGACCCCGGGTCAAGACCGGAGCCGAAAGCAAACGCTTAACTGACTGAGCCACCCAGGCCCCCTTCTTGTGTTTTTCTTTGCAAAAATTTGCAGATACATTTGTTTTCTTATTTTCCCTTCTCCCTTGAACAAGAGGTAGGATAGTTTAGACTATAAACTTTGCTTTCTTCACTTCATAATATATACTGGAAATCAGTCCATATGAAATCACAGTGATATATATAATTTCTAAATTGCATATAAGACAACATTCCATTCATTTACCAAACTATATGCGTGCCAGCCACTGAGCTAGGCATGAAGGATAGGGAAATGAATAAATATAGTCCCTGCCCTTTATAACCTCAGACTTCATATAAGCAAAACCATCCCAGTGCTCTGGGAGCCCAGAGGAGCGAGTCAGTAAGAGGATGTTCAAAAGGATGGACACCTGAGCTTGAAGAATGAGAAGGTAAATGAAGAAATAGCACCTGTAAAGGAAGAGTTGAAAAAGTACAAGGTGTGTCATGGAAATGGGAGTTTCGTGATGCTAAAACTTAGAATCTGAGGGTAGGAGCAGGATGTGAGTGGGGGAGAAAGAAGTACCCATAATGAGGTGGCAGGGCACTCAGTGGTGCTGGGAATACCAGGAGAATGCTGGACTGTGTTATTTAGGCATCCAGGAGACATGGTCTTTAAGACCCCACTCAGATCCACTCACTTCACAAGTATTTAATTGACTACTGCATTGTGCTAGGTACTGCAGGAACAGTAACAGTAAGATCCCAACCCATAGGGAGCTGACAGAAGCAAGAAAGAAGTAAAGGAACTCTTAGAATGAAGTGGGGAAATTTGCCCGCCAAGCATAGGAGGGGAACCTAACACACTAGAAGCCTGGAGTGAGATAGGAGTGAAGGAATACTTCTAAAAAGTAAGGCCAACTTTTAGCTAGGTATGTGCCTGTTTGTGGTAGAGGGTTTGGGTACGGTTCCAATGCTAATGCCTGGAGCCAAGGGAGTTTGAGATATTGGAAGTTTCGCTGGGATTAAGACCACTGACTCATAACTGCTCTACTCCATTCTCCACACTGCAAAGAGTGATCTTCTAAAAATGCAAATCTGACCTGTTTTCTGTGAAAGGCTCCTCACTACTTTGAGGACAATGTCCAAGTCTCTTTAAAATCTAGTCCCAGGTTCCTTACCTCTCCAGTCTCATTTTTTTCCAACCTCTTTAATTTAATCAGCCACGCTGACGTTTTCTTAATTTGTCACATTCCCCTGCCTAGAAATTCATCACCCAACGCTGGATTCGGTGTCACTTCTATCTGCTCTCATGGTGCCCTATGCTTCACCTAATAGATCTCATCTAATTGTCTGAGTCTACCACTAGCTTGAACTCGGAGAGGACAGGAAGTGGTGAAATTACGGTTGTATCCAATGCGTCTAGCCTAATGTCCTAATGCCCAACTAATTTTGAATGAATGAAGTCTGGCTTCATTGCGGAGTTCAATGAAGAATTTTGAATTAGACCTTAGGTACTTTGTCCTTCAGTCTCTCTGTTACTACAGTTTAAGGGTTCATTCTAGGGCATGGAGACACCGTTTAGGTATTAAATCACTGAAGCTTAAAATGATTTCGGATTTAGCATAGATTTATCTGCAACATACTGAGTTTCAAACCGATAACTTTAATGTCCATCAGTCTTTTATTGAAAGCAGAAAAGGTCAAGACTAGCTCCTCATGAAACCCACCGCTCACCTAAGAGGGGCAGTCGCGTGTTTGGACCCCGGATTTCTTTGCACTTAGACTCCGCCCACCGGCCCCCAAATGGCGGAAGAACTGCACGCTACGTCGTGACATCTCACACAACTGCGGAGGTATCCCGACGCTACGCCACCGGCGTAGGCGGGGCGGCCGGTTCTTCCTTCCTCACGGCTACTTCGGCTCCTCCCCCAGCGCTTCACACGCTCATTGTGAAGCGACAGCGGCAGCCAACCTCTAGGGCTGTTTGAGACCTAGAGACCCTAAATCTTTGGCGCGCGTAAGCGCCCACGCCGCTCCTTCTCCACTCCCAGGGCTAGGGGCGCGAGATTCGCCTCTTTTTATTCTCTCCTCTCCTGCCCGGAGCCAACCGCCCCGGTGCGCGCGGACATCTCGCGCCGCCGCTCCCTCCTCCCTGCCCCTCCCCCTTCGGGAGCTCCCGCCCGCGCGCTCCTCCTCCTCCCCTTTCCCCGGCGACGCGCACGCGCGCCAGGCCGGCTCGCGCCCTCTCGCTTTCCTCCAGCCCGCGAGACCCCCTCCCCTTCCGCCTCGCGGCGCTTCCTCGCGCCGCGGTCTTCTCTATCCACCCCCGACATCGCGGGGCTCCCCCCGCCCGCCAACGGCGGGTCCCCGGCTTCCCAGGCCCCCTCGCTTCCCGTGCTCTCCAGCGGGGGCCTAGCCCCGGCCTCCTCTCTCCCTCCCTTCCCCCTAATTCCCCTTCCGGACGCTGCCATCATGTTGAAGCCTCAGCCGCCACAACAGACCTCCCAGCCCCAGCAGCCGCCCCCCACGCAACAGGCCGTGGCCCGCCGGCCTCCCGGGGGCACCAGCCCTCCCAACGGCGGCCTCCCGGGGCCCCTGGCCTCCACCTCGGCTCCCGCAGGGCCTCCCGCGGCCGCTTCTCCCTGCCTGGGGCCTGCAGCCGCCGCCGGGAGCGGGCTCCGCCGGGGAGCCGAGGGCATCTTGGCGCCGCAGCCGCCGCCGCCGCAGCAACACCAGGAGAGGCCAGGGGCGACGGCTATCGGCAGCGCCAGGTGAGGAGGGGTGGGTTTCCGGACGCTGGAGCCGAGGCTGCGAGGCGGCGGCGGCGGCTCGGCTCCGGCCCAGCGGCCGGGACCTGAGGACACCGCGCGAGCCGGGTACCTAGCCCGGCCACCTTTGCGGGGCGCCGGGGGCAGTGGGGAACTCCCGTGAGGCTGGGGTGGGCCCCCTCAGGTCCTAACAGGTCAGAGGGAAAGGGTCCCCGGGCGGCCACCGAGACATTTGGGGGCCGTGCTCAGTCCTCAGAGCCTAGTTGGGCCTCGGGGCTCGGGCCTTAAGGGCAGGCGGGGCGCATCCCGCCAGCGCCGTCAGAACGAGGAGCTGGGGGGGTGAAGAGGTGATCAGGGTCCCCGGCTCCATTACCACGAAGGGTCTCGCGGTCCCCGGCTTCAGCCAATGGGGAGTCAGCTGCGGGAAGGGGTCCCCGGCCGTAGCCAATGGAGGGGGGCGCGCGGCCCACAGTTTGGCCAATGGGGAGGGAGGGACTTGGGAGCGGGTTGCTACCTCCCCTTTCCCGGTCTGGCCAGTAGGAGGGGAGCGGGATGGGCGGGGGGACGGAAGGAGGGACAACTGGGAGGTCTGCGGGCAGGGAACCTTCAGCGCGCGCGCGCTCTTCCCGTACGTGCGCGCGGATGCTCTGTCTTATGACCCGGGCATTCGTGAGGCGCGGGTAACCTATAGGGCAGGGTTTGGGAGTGTGCGTGGAGGGGTTCGCCTGGCGTTTGTGGATGAGTGGTGGACACCCCACTCGGTTTCTCCTGTGTGTGGCTTAATGGAATTGAGAGTGGCGGTACACGCAGGCGCAGTGGGTTCAGGTCGCGGGAGGGGGGAATTTTGGAGGCCCTTGGGCTTTACTGCGCAGGCGCAGACCGGGCGAGGCCTCCCGGTGGATGGCTTTTGCGGCTGCGCTGTCCCCCATCCCCGCCAACGGCCCCCTCATCGCCCTCCTCAACCGACGGTTACATCAGCCAGCGAGGAGCAGGGTTACCGGGCGATCGGTGACCCCTCCTCGAGAGGGTGGGTTGTAAAGGGAATACCCTCCTCCCAGAGTTTGGGGCGTAAGGCTGGTGAAAATGATTGTCTTTTCTGTTTGAGAGGTAATGTGCCTGAGCTAGGTGGTTCCGAATCTGCATTCCCTGAGCTTTCGCCTTTATGTCTAGGGTGGATTGTTGGTTAACGACTACTGTAGCATTGCTTTCTTGGAATCATGGGGCCCTGGCCCCTTGGAGAAAGTGAGAAGGTTGTGTTGAATTGACAACCATTGTCGACTGAGGTCTGTTTTAGTGGCATTTGGTAGAAATGTGTTTACTGGCTTTTACTGTCTATGCCTTTTTTTTCTCTGTATGGTGAGAGTTGGAAAATCTTGTTGATAATTGGTTTGTAGTCTAAATCGGCATCTTCACAGCATATGTGGTTTTAGGATACCAAGTTCTTCGAAATTAAGAGGAATTGAATGTGTTTAAGTAACTAGTTTCTTGTTTCCTTTCTCATAGGGGACAAAGCACAGGAAAGGGACCCCCACAGTCACCGGTGAGTGCCACTCCCCACCCTTAAAGTACAGAGGTACATATGGGCATATAGGATAGATCGTGTGCACAAATAGTTGGGCTCAGAAGAGTAGGGGCCCAGCACATACAAAGTGGGTGAGTGGAGTGTGGGTATTCAGAAGGAAAGTGAGATGTTGACTGGCTATTTATTTCTCCTGTGTTATTGGTAGGTGTTCGAAGGTGTCTACAACAATTCCAGAATGCTGCATTTTCTTACAGCTGTTGTGGTAAGTGGGTACCTAACCTCTAGGTTGTTTGAGGAATGTAATGCACCAGTTTGCTGGAGACACTCTTCTTTTTCCCTACTCTTCCAGGGCTCCACTTGTGATGTAAAGGTGAAGAATGGTACCACCTATGAAGGTATCTTCAAGACTCTGAGCTCAAAGGTTAGTGTACTCAAATTAGCTGATTTTTTGCATTTCATGAAGGAGGAGGGGAATGAAATAGGCTCATTGGAGATGTGAGTTGAATGGTGTTGAGCAACATTGTGTTACTCATTTCTGTAGGCCTGTGCCGGAGTAGTGCTGGAAGCAATAAGAAATGAGGGTCGGAAATTGGAGGGCTGGGTACTTTAATGTTAATGTTAAAATATTTAGTCCTGGGCTGATACTGAGAAGACTGTGTGACAGTGTGGTGTTGGGATGAGGTTAAAAGAGTAAAAGAAAAATAGTCCTATTTTTACCATCACATTTCTTGATACTGATCCTTTACTGTTTGGAAATGGGACTTTTATAGTTTGAACTAGCAGTAGATGCTGTACACCGGAAAGCATCTGAGCCAGCAGGTGGCCCTCGTCGGGAAGACATTGTGGACACCATGGTGTTTAAGCCAAGCGATGTCATGCTTGTCCACTTCCGAAATGTTGACTTCAATTATGCTACTAAAGGTATCGTGTTGGGTTTTTATGTCAGACTAGAGAGCAGAGAGCAGTTACATAATGACTTGAATTTTTTTCTTCTCCCTTTACCATCTTTTTTTCTGAGGAGGAGGGCCAGGATTTTTTTCTTTTTTTTTTTTTTCCTTTTTTTAAAGATTTTATTTATTTGAGAGAGAGCGAGAGCATGAGAGAGATCACGAGCAAGGAGCAGGGGTAGAGGGAGAGGCAGACTCCCCGCTGAGCAGGGAGCCCCATGCAGGACTTGATCCCAGGACCCTGGGATCATGACCTGAGCCAAAGGCAGACACTTAACCGACTGAGCCACCCAAGCACCCTAGGTTTTTCTTGAGAATATGTCTTGATGTCTAAGATACAGTGGGATGACTTCCAGCCTGTGTTGTGGTCCTTCATGTTTCCCTTGCTTTGCTTTCAAGTCCTTGCTCCTCTTGAACTCTTCAGATGAGGCTTGTTGTGCTGCTCCACCCACACCCTCCCCTCCCTCTAACCCTGACACACACTTTTCTTTGCTTCCCGACTACTTATTGGGGGTGGGGTGTTGGAAGAGGCTGTGGAATAATCCCCTGACTCCTGATCTTCGACTCTGCCCCCACAGACAAATTCACTGATTCAGCCATTGCCATGAACTCAAAAGTGAATGGGGAGCACAAAGAGAAGGTGCTTCAGCGCTGGGAAGGGGGCGACAGCAACAGCGATGACTATGACCTCGAGTCTGACATGGTACAGCCCCCCTTCCCTGAGAGCTGGGCGCTCTGCTGCCTGAGCGCAGGTTGTTGACTCTGATGTCACTCTTAGAACCAAGAGTTGCTGGGCAGGGCGGGGAGGGGGAGTCTTTTCTATTGCCGGTTGATGGCTGTTAGATTCCAAATGAAAAGCTAAAGAAAATAACAAAAATACCTGTTCTCCCATCATCTGTGATCGACAGCTATTGACATTTGATTTAAGATTTTTTTTCCTTTAATTTAACAAAGCATAGACAAGATTGTAGATTGTGTAGTCTATAATGTCCTTCTAAAAACAAGGACTTTGACTCATTTAAGATTTCTCATGAGTTAATGTATTATTCTATGTTTAGCTTGCATAAGAATTTATTTTCCCTGCTTGTTTTGAATTTTTTTTTAATATTGGTATATAGATCCAGTTACTGCTTTCAGCTGTTTTGTCTAGTTTGCTTGTATATGTACGTGTGTATTTACACACAACAAAATGTATTTATATTTTTCCTTACTGATTGGTATTTGTTGCCATTATTTTGCTGTTAAAAATAGTGCCTTACTGGACTTTTAAGAGTGTGTGTACCCATGTAATATATACCAAATTTTACTAGGACATAAACCTGAAAATGGATTCGTTAGGTCTTAAGACTTTGGTTTTACTAGCTGTTGCCAGTCTGTGCCACAATTGGTGGTACTAGTTGGTAATTCTGCCAGCCTTGTTCTTACTTTTCCACTCTTGGTTTGGTCAGATTTGTGTGTTTTTCGCCCTGGGGAAAGGAGAATGGTGGAGGAGAATGACCGGTCATTGTTGCTTTCTTTGCTGGGTTTTAAAACATTCTCCTTCCTCCCTCCTTAGTCCAATGGATGGGACCCCAACGAAATGTTCAAGTTCAACGAGGAGAACTATGGTGTAAAGACCACCTATGACAGCAGTCTTTCTTCTTACACGTGAGTGTCTTGGTACTTCCCAGATGGTGCAGTTTGAGGCATGGGGTCCTGGCATTTGTTCATGCTTTTCTGGGTGTCCAGGTTGCCCTCTCCCCACTTTTGGTCTGCCTTGTGTCATTGTCCCCTCAAAATACCAGGCCATCTCATGGGTAGAATTAGCTGCTTTCTTGTCCACTCACCGATACTTTTCCTCTAGAATTTAAAACATACTTACATATGCGTGTAAGTACTCCGGTTCAGAGATTGGCCTTGTTTCCCCACGTGGGACCTAGTAGATGCCCATTAAATATGTGCTGAGTTGTTGAAGGGGTTAAACATCTGCATACCCGAGCTACTGATAGGACTCATAGAAATGTTTTTCCTTTTTCTTCTCTTGTCCCCTGCCACCGGGATGGTGATCTGTGGTGGTCCTCTCAGGGTGCCCTTGGAGAAGGACAACTCAGAAGAGTTTCGTCAGCGGGAGCTGCGTGCAGCCCAATTAGCTCGAGAGATTGAATCAAGCCCCCAGTACCGCCTGCGGATCGCCATGGAGAACGATGATGGGCGCACCGAGGAGGAGAAGCACAGTGCGGTCCAGCGGCAGGGTTCAGGACGGGAGAGCCCCAGCTTGGCATCTAGGTGATTGCTGGGGGCGGCCTGCTCTGTTTGGGGCTCTGTACAGGCCCTGGCTTAGGCCAAGAGCTTTGTATACTCCTGTTTAAAGCTTCATGCCCATGTAAGATGTAGGTTAGTACATAGTTGTTCCTCATTTTCAGGTTTAAGAAGTGAGGCTTAGATCAGATAAGTAGTTTGTCCAAGGTAACAAAGCTAAAACTTAACAGATTTAGAAAAAATTTTTTTTGAGTTTTGATGCTTTTTTTCCTCTGTATATTTATCCATATGTATATTTTAACTTTTCCCTTTATGAAAACAAAAAGTGTATGTGATGTTTAGTAATTTGTAAAAACTGTACCTTGAACTACAGTGTGATACTCCCTTTCTAATAGGTCAGGAGTGGTAGAATTGTGGAGCTTTGGCCAGGTTGGTCAGGTCAGGGTTGACACAAAAGGTCATAAGCCTGTAGCTACAGAACATTTAACCAGAACAGATCTTCAAGTAGGGGTAGTGCAAAAAGCTGGAACGTGTGTGTGTGTGTGTGTGTGTGTGTGTTTTACATGCACACGCACTTCAGAAGGAAAGACTTCATTTTTCCAAAACGTGTGGATTTTATGACTAATTGACCTTACTTGAATTCTTTCCCTAGGGAGGGAAAGTATATCCCTCTACCCCAGCGAGTTCGGGAAGGTCCCCGGGGAGGAGTTCGATGCAGTAGTTCCCGGGGTGGCCGGCCTGGCCTTAGCTCTTTGCCACCTCGTGGCCCTCACCACCTTGACAGTAGCAGCCCCGGCCCAGGTTCTGAGACACGTGGTATCAATGGAGGTGAGTTATGAAGCGGGCTTTTGTTGTGGGGGTGGGTAGGGAAGAGGCTAGTATGGAGGTGGGGAGGGTAATTGAAAGGGGAGATGGGCTGGAAGGGTGATGCGTTGGTGATAATGTAATAGCAGATACTCTGCCTCTTTTTTCTCATCTTAAAAAAAAAAAAAAAAATAGGCCCTTCCCGCATGTCCCCTAAGGCACAACGGCCTGTGAGAGGTGGTGCCAAGACTCTGTCCTCACCCAGCAGTAGGCCTTCTGGAGAAGCTTCCGCTCCGCCCCCTCCTGCAGGTAAAATTTCAGCAGTTATATGAAGAAATAGAAATGGGCAGGGGGGGGCTATAAATGTCAGTTGTTGAAATGCTGGGATGGGAGACAGTTTGAAGATATAAGAGACGTTGGCGGGGGGAGTTGGATTTATGCTTTTTAGGGAAGAGTTTGTTTCCCTCATGTAGCAAAGCCCAGCTGGCTACGGGTTGTGTTTGGCTGGCAGATGTCTTTTGTTTAAATTAGGTATCAGGGTGCCTGGTTGGCTCAGTCGGGTGGAGCATGCGACTCTTGATCTTAGGGTCGTGAGTTCAACCCCCACAGTGGGCACAGAGCTTACTTTAAAAAAAAAAAAAAAAAAAAAAACTTTTTAGTTGTCAACATTTTGAAACAGGAGACATAGAAAATTTCCAATTTTTTTGGAAATATAGAAAGTTCTGCAAACACTGAATGTGTCTTACAGCATAACCCTACTTAGTTGGGACTGAGTTATGATTGCCTCTAAACATTCCAAACTTTTATGCTGTTCACAAGTGTATCTTACGTGCTTATGTTAGCTGCCTTGCTCTTTTGGGCATTTAGGTTTGTGACCTTGCATATAAAAAAAAAGTGGATAAACTTTCTTTGGTGTTTCTGGCGGTTCCCTATGCCTCTTACTCACTGAACAGCAGTAACCATTGTACAGCTTTCCCTTTTCTTCCAGTGGGCCGGATGTACCCCCCGCGCTCTCCCAAGTCGGCTGCCCCTGCCCCAATCTCAGCTTCCTGTCCTGATGCCCCCATGGGCTCGGCAGTACCGACCTCTTCGGCTTCTATCCCTGTGACATCATCAGTTGTGGATCCTGGAGTAGGCTCCATTTCCCCAGCTTCTCCAAAGATCTCATTGGCCCCCACAGATGGTAAGAGACAGGTAGTTGAGGGCTTTTGGACAATATGAAGTGTGGTTCTGGACAGAAGGACCTTCAGGCATATGTCTCTTCTTGCTCAGTAAAAGAACTTCCAGCCAAGGAACCTGGGAGAACTCTGGAGTCCCAGGAGCTGTCCCGGATAGCTGGGAAAGGTGAGGATTGGTGTTTTTGTTTGTTTTTTGTTGTTGTTAAGATTTTATTTATTTGACAGAGAGAGTGGATACAAGCAAGGGGAGAAGGTAGAGCAGGCTACCCGCTGAGCAGGGATCCCTGGACCCTAGGATCAGGACCTGAGCCAAAGGCATATGCTTAACCGACTGAGCCACCCAGACGCCCCCCTTTTTTTTTGTTGTGTTTTGTTTTGTTTTTGATTTTCTGCGGTGTAATGTCCTTTTGATTAGGGGAGCACTTCAGTTAGTAACAAGAGTTGTGGGGGTTCAGAAACAGTGTCTTGTCCGTTGTGTAATCCTAATTTGTCCTATAGGAATCTCAAGAGCTTTTTTTTTCCTCTTGTTTTCTTTGTCCTTTGGGGTACTGGTATTGTAGCCACCTTTGAGAAAAGAAATGTGGTTTTTCTCCTTTTTTCCCTGTTTCTCATAGTCCCTGGCCTTCAGAATGAACAGAAACGCTTTCAACTGGAAGAACTGAGAAAGTTTGGGGCCCAGTTTAAGGTGAGAGGAGTGTGGGAGTGCGCCAGGGTGTTAGGATGAAGAGGGATGGAGGGGGCTTACAGAAGAAGCACAGGACTAGGGCCAGGGGGGAGAAGAGATGAGCAAGCAAGGATGCAAGAAGGGGTCCGGACCAACTGTCTGGGTGCTGTATGTGTGCTGCTCTCCTTCCAGCTGCAGCCCAGTAGCTCCCCTGAGACCAGCCTGGATCCTTTTCCTCCCCGGATCTTAAAGGAGGAGGCCAAAGGGAAAGAGAAGGAGGTCGATGGTTTATTAACGTCAGAGCCAGTGGGGTCCCCAGTCTCCTCGAAGACGGAGTCTGTATCGGATAAGGAGGACAAGCCGCCCCTGCCGCCGGCAGGAGGCACAGAGGGGCCCGAGCAGCCCCCGCCACCTTGCCCAAGCCAGACTGGCAGCCCCCCGGTAGGCCTCATCAAGGGAGACGACAAGGACGAGGGCCCGGTCGCTGAGTGAGTAGGATGGGGAGCTGGGTGGGTGTCAGGTGGGGAGAGGAGCAAGCCATGAGGATTGACTCTCTTGTTCTCTCACAGACAAGTGAAGAAGTCAACACTGAACCCCAACGCCAAGGAGTTCAATCCCACAAAGCCTCTGCTGTCTGTGGTAAGATGGGATGGGCAGATGCGGATTGGTTTCCCCGAGGGAGGCTTGGGAGTGGGGTGATAGAGCAAGGGGGCGGCGCTCTGAAAGTTGGGCTGCTCTGGGGAAAACAGGTGTCAGGCTTGGGGCGAGGGGTCATGATGTGTCTGGCAAGTGTTTATGTGTTTCTCCCTGAGGTTTAGCGTTCGTATGTTGGGGTAGTTGGGAGCATGGGTTTCTTTTTTCTTTTTTTTTTTTTTTAAAGATTTTATTTATTTTGAGAGAGAGAGAACACATGAGAGGGGATAGGGTCAGAGGGCAAAGCAGACTCCCTGCCGAGCAGGGAGCCCCATGCGGGACTCGATCCCGGGACTCCAGGATCATGACCTGAGCCGAAGGCAGCCGCTTAACCAACTGAGCCACCCAGGCGCCCGGAGCATGGGTTTCATTCAGGCCCCTGATTTGGTTTGAACTCCTCTACTTAAAAAAAAAAAAACAACAACAACTTGGTGATCACGGAGAAGCCATTTAACTTTTCTGCCTTGATTTCCTTACCTCTAATTTGAGAATACCCATCTCATGGGGTCCGATGTGAGGCTTAACCAAGACGCAGGGTGGAATGTGTTGCTAGGAGAGGCGTACAAAAACCAAACTTCGTGTTCTCCCTTGTCTCTTACAGAATAAATCCACCAGTACCCCGACTTCTCCGGGGCCCCGGACTCATTCAACTCCCTCCATCCCGGTGCTGACAGCAGGCCAGAGTGGGCTCTACAGCCCCCAGTACATTTCCTACATACCTCAGATCCACATGGGACCAGCTGTTCAGGTAAGAGGAAAGACTGAACAGCTCCGGGCTAAGAGGCTGGGTTGGGCTGCTGAGGGCCAGGTCAGGCCTGGTGAGGGCATTTGTGAGCAAGCTGTTGAGCTTCGTCTGTGTTCTTGTCCCTAGGCACCTCAGATGTATCCATACCCTGTATCCAATTCTGTGCCTGGACAGCAGGGCAAGTACCGGGGAGCAAAAGGTGAGCAGAGTTGGCAGGGCTGGTCGGCAGGGCTGCCAGGTTGCCTCCTGGCAGATGGAGCTTGAGCTCAGCACTCTTTCCCCTACCCCAGGCTCCCTGCCCCCCCAGCGCTCGGACCAACACCAGCCAGCCTCAGCCCCTCCGATGATGCAGGCCGCCGCCGCTGCTGGCCCACCTCTGGTGGCTGCCACGCCGTACTCTTCCTACATCCCTTACACCCCACAGCAGTTCCCGGGCCAGCCCGCCATGATGCAGCCCATGGCCCACTACCCCTCGCAGGTAACTGAGGCATGGGGGGGGCGGGGGAGAGTTGGGGGACAGAGCGAAGGATCACCTCTGTTCCATCACCCAGACTCAGGCTTCCATCCTGGCTCTGGTAGGATCCGTAGCAAGGCATCGCTACTCTCTGAAGTATAGATCACATAGCGTCTCCTGGCTGGGGTCGTTGTGAACTAGAAACGGTGGTTGTGACAAGGACGGGGTGGTGCTGTGCACGGGTTCTCGGGCAGCAGGATGTGCCGACCACTTCTCTCCTTACCCCTCCAGCCAGTGTTTGCCCCCATGCTTCAGAGCAACCCACGCATGCTGACGTCGGGGAGTCATCCCCAGGCCATTGTGTCGTCCTCCACCCCTCAGTACCCTTCTGCAGAGCAGCCCACCCCCCAAGCCCTCTATGGTGAGTTCTGTGCCGTTCTTCTCGGACCTTGCTCCTCAGCCCCCTCTGGTGTGCTTGGCACTGATTCTCTCCCTCTTTCCTGCTGTAGCCACTGTTCACCAGTCCTATCCACACCATGCCACGCAGCTCCATGCCCACCAGCCGCAGCCGGCCACCACACCTACTGGGAGCCAGCCGCAGTCCCAGCATGCGGCCCCCAGTCCCGTCCAGGTGCCTGCCATGGGAGATCCGAGTGGTTGGGGCAGGAACAGGTGGCTGGAAGAGGGGGATAGAGTTCAAGGGGTCATTCCCCAGCAGGAGAGGATCAGGGGTCAGTGGGTGGTAGGCCTGGCACCTGAGGAGTGGGGTGGCACTCACCCTTCCCCTCCCCTAACAGCACCAGGCGGGGCAGGCCCCACACCTGGGCAGTGGACAGCCACAGCAGAATCTGTACCACCCAGGGGCCCTGACAGGCACGCCGCCTTCTCTGCCACCGGGACCTTCTGCCCAGTCCCCTCAGAGCAGCTTCCCCCAACCAGCCGCTGTATATGCCATCCATGCCCATCAGCAGCTGCCCCACGGCTTCACCAACATGGCCCATGTTACCCAGGTAAGAACCCCAGGGACTTGCTTCCTGGGGCTGTCCTGTTCCTGAATCCTTGTGCTCCTTTCCTGAGTGCTCTTAACACTAGGATTCTCAGAGCCCACGTCTAGCTTCTGGGGTGCTCACGGCTGTTTTTTTCTCCGCAGGCCCATGTCCAAACTGGAATCACAGCAGCCCCGCCCCCTCACCCTGGGGCTCCCCACCCGCCCCAGGTGATGCTGCTGCACCCACCCCAGAGCCATGGGGGCCCCCCCCAAGGCGCGGTGCCCCAGAGTGGGGTGCCTGCACTCTCAGCTTCCACACCCTCACCCTACCCCTACATCGGACACCCCCAAGGTGAGCAGCCTGGCCAGGCGCCTGGATTTCCAGGAGGAGCCGATGACAGGATTCGTGAGTTCTCGTTAGCTGGGGGAATTTGGCATGGAAGAGCTGACGGGCTGCAGGTGGGGCAGGATGCTCGGGTTCTGGGAGGGGAGTGAGGGGTCTTGGAGGCAGGGCGCCCGCCGACCTGCACCTGTCTGTGAAGTATGTAGGGTGGGCAGAAGCCACAGTCGCCGCCGCCAGGGGCTTGCTCCTGGCTCTGTCCTTTGCTTCCCTCCGTCCTCGCTCAGTTGTGATCCAGCAGCCCCCCTCCCCACTGCCTCCCCAGCTCTCAGTGACCCCGACTGTCTCCTGACTTAGCCGAGGTAAGGTCAGCGCAGCAGACAGGGCCAGGCTGGGGCGTGGGGGGCTGAGCTGGGCACATGAGTAAGGGCTCTCGCTCACTGGGAAACAGCGATTGATCTGTGCTTCTGACAGCCCCATGAGACACCTTGAGGAGGCCGCTCCTACCCAGACACTCCCCCCGCACCCCACACTGGACGGCATTGGATGAAGGGACAGCTGCTTGGGTTCTAATGCTCCTGCTCTCTTCTCTTTCCCCTCCAACCAGTTCAATCTCATCCCTCCCAGCAGCTCCCCTTCCACCCCCCGGGGAACTGAAGATTGTCCTGGCCGCGACCTGAGACCTCCATGAGTGGAGGGAAGAGTGATCTATGTCTCTTCCCCCAGCAGCTCGGACCAGTCCCAGCCCCCCAATCCCCCCTTTCCCCTGGGGGAGCTGGGGAATTCCTGCCAAGCACCTTGAAGGGGAGGGGCCTTGAAGTGGGCAGGGCCAGGGTCCAGCGGGGGTGGGGGGTTCCTGCTCTGCCCCTGCCCATCCCCACCCCATCTTGCCCTCCCATCCTCTCATCTATCCCCCGCTGGAGACGGAAGACCTTTTATTTTCTATTATTTATAACCTCAGACTTGGGCCCCCTGTTTCTTTTCTTCCCCATTAACTTGAGTGACCTGCGTGAGAGAGACAGACAGACAGATGCCCCACAAGGATGGTTGGACAAGGACTTTTACTTTTTATTACATAAAAATATTAAAAAAAAATTAAAAAAAATAAAATTTTAAACTAACTTAACCTGCCTCTGGTTTCCAGTGGAGAACAGTAAGATGGTAGCTGTCTAGTCTTGGGAGGCCTGACGTGGCTCCCAGCAGTGGGGAAAATGCAGCAGAACAGGCTGGATGCTTGCTGCCCTGTCACTGGGTGACTTTGCTCTCACCTTGATGTTGGTCTCATCGTGAGGTGCAGTTTCAAGTTTTTATTGCTAGTGTAAGTACTTCATTAATTTCTTCTCTTTGCACCAAAAAACGTTAAGTGATTTTGGCCGCTGGAAACAAAGGCCTGCCCGGAGCCCAGCTGAGAGGTGGTGTGTGCAGGTGGGCATTGCAAAGATGAAGCCACCGGCAGAGGGGAGACGGCTGGAATGAGGAGCCTGGTTTAGGGGAGCAAGAGCTAAACCGGGGGCTAAATGGCACGAATGGAAGAGCCAGGTATGGGATGTAGAAATGACACATTGCAGAAGTGTTTGGTTATTTCCAAGGAAACACTGCAATTTTTTACTGCATGTCCTGGCCTTGGTTTTCTTCTCTTTTAAGTAAAGATCACTTTCTTCTTAGAGCGTCGAGGGGGTAGGGCTGGTACTCATGGGTAGGTGGGGGTTTCAGCTGGGACCAAAGCCAGAGAAGATGGGCTGAGAGCAGGGCAGGAAAAGTGAAGGGTCACATACTGGGGAAAAGATCCAAGGTGTGAGGGTCTGAAACCAGGTAATGGGTGGGCATGATGGGGCAGCTGGCTTACATAGAGGTAAGCGAGAACAGATGTACAGGGTTGTAGAAGAGCTCTCTTAAAGGATGGGAGTTGCAGCTGGGGGGCAGTGATGGAAAAAGCAGCAGCAAGAAAGCCAGCCAGGCTCAGGACATCTCAGGTGCAGATGGAGCGGTCTCCCCAATACAGAGATGGGACTGCAGTGGTTACCGGGTGGTCCTGAGGCTCGGGGCGGGGGGGGGGGGGTCTTAGGAATCTCTTGAAACCTTCTGGCCTCACCTCAGACACGGAGGGTAAAGCAAACCTGCCCTATCACGTTCTTTTTTGTGAAGCTCTTCCTTTTGTCCTTTTCTTGAGCCCATTTCTATGCCTCTGCTGTGAAGCCATAGATTTGTGACTCAAAACAGCTCTCGGGTTGGGCCTAAGAGCCTCCCCGCTCTGGGTGGCTCGTCCGTGCTGAATATACTCATTTGTCAGGAAGTAAGGTTGAAAGAGGTGCTTGTTAATCCCTGCTGAAAGTTAACCTTCTGTTGCCCTGGCCAGTTGTTTCGAGTTTTTAAATACCTATTCAGCATTTTACTCCCTACACGTTTGATAAGTCCTTATCTTAATTTTAAGTCTCAGAAAACTTCAGTTTATAACTTCTTACTCCTGTGTTTAGAATTAGTGATACATAGGGGGGACAACCCATCGAGCACAGAGACTTAATTAAAAAGAGGGTCCTGATAAAGTGCTGAGTGTTGGTTCTAGAGGTGAGACACAGTCCCCAATATCCTAGAGCTTAGACAAGGGCAGGTAGACATTAACGGCCTTCGTAACCACTCCAAGAGGACAGGACATGGGTTTGGCATCTCTGAACCCACGCTTCCTCCAAGGGCGAAGTCCCCAGTTTCTCCCACAGGACAGCCAGCAATCCTACCTAGTAGTGTTTTGCTAGGCAGCCACACCAACTTCACTAGACCAACTTTCCTCCTTTTCTCAAGTTGTCTGAGCAGTTGACAGCTTTAAGACAGGAGCTTTTCCAAACGGCACCACAGAGAGAAACCGAGGGATGTGTTCTAGGCTCTATGTTTCTACTCCCCCATCCTCTCCAACTTAGACAAAGGACACAAGACACAACGTCCCTCACTATTCACAGAACAGTTTATTGACCTACCTCACCTGGCAGGCCGTGGGGCCCCTCCTGGCCAGGGGAAGTGTCAGGCGAGCTGCACTGCTGGGCGCAGCCCGGGCCGTGGGGAGGGGGCTGCAGCAGCGGGAGAGAACTCGGGCTAGTGCAGCCTTCAATGCCAGAGTCTGAGCAGAGTCCAGACTCAACTCCATTTGAGGTTCTTGTCTTCCTCGGTCATGGCGGGCGTCTCAGTGACAAGGCCAGTGCCGATGGTCCGGTTGCCATCTCGCAGGGTGAAGCGCTGGCCTTTTTCTAAGATCATGGGCTGCCGCAAGATAAGGCTGACCTTCAGGTCCTCCCCGGGCATGGCAAGCTCCTGGTGGGGGCAGAGACAGGGTTCATGCGTGGCCCTCAGGGCACCTTCTTCCTGTTTGCTGCCTACCAAGGCTAAAAGTTAGGGAATCCATGTGAACTAAATTGAATTTGAATTAGAAGAATTTTCAGGGCGCCTGGGTGGCTCAGTTGGTTAAGCGACTGCCTTCGGCTCCGGTCATGATCCTGGAGTCCCAGGATCGAGTCCCGCATCAGGCTCCCTGCTCGGCAGGGAGTCTGCTTCTCCCTCTGACCCTCCCCCCTCTCATGTGCTTGCTCTGTCTCATTCTCTCTCTCTCAAATAAATAAATAAAATCTTTAAAAAAAAAAAAAAGAATTTTTAGAAGGTTATAGGAAATGCAGTAGGGGGATTCTTTGTGGAGACAGCTCCACCCCAGCTGCCAGGCAGATGCAAACAGTGTATGTGAAGACAGGAAAGGACTTGTGACCAGTGTTCCTAATGTTCACTCTTGAAAAGTCAAGGAAACTATGGGTCATGCAGGTTTCTTTGTCACAAGAATTCTCTGAGCCATTGTGTACGGTGGAACTCTCAACAGGAAGAATCCTTTTCTGGGAGATATTTCTGTGGGTAAATGCTAGCATGGGTAAGTGTTTTTTACCTACTTCAGCCCAGGGAATACTGGGTGGAGACTCACTCCCCCTAAACCCACTGAGCCAGACCTTTCCATCACTAGCTTTGTCTACACCAGTCAATGCAAAGTCACTCGTGTCAGCCCAGCTCTGGAACTGAGAGTGAGGTAGAGCTGATAGGAAGAGTGTCGCTCCCACTCCTTCACATTCCCTAGACCCACCATACCTTCCCTGGTGGCAAGATGACACGACAGGCCATGTCCCAAGTCAGGGAGAACATGACAGGCATGAAGTGGGACACAAAAGGCTTGTGGCGGCCACCTTCCTCCTTGCTGAGGATATAAACCTAGAAAAAAAAAGCACCAAGGGTGAAGCCATGCCTGGCCGGAAAGGTGCCTCCGCATGGGATGGTCTGGCTCAGTGCTGCCCACTGCCTGGAGCCCTCACCTGTGCCTCCACCTTCTGGTGGGGCTGGATGGACCCTGGCTTGGCCATGACCAGGCCACGCCTCAGGTCCTCTCGCTTCAAGCCTCGGACCAGGGCTCCGAGGTTGTCGCCTGCCTCTGCCCTCTCCAGACTCTTGTGGAACATCTCAATGCCTAAAAGGGAAGAGGAGAGACAAGGGAGGAAGGGTCTAGAGCAGAGGGAAGGCACGAAGGATCTGCAAGGGAAATCCTGGAGCCAGCCCCTGGGTCCCAAGGCGTCTTTCCTATACCTGTCACCACAGTGCGAATGTTCTTGCTGTGTCCCAGGAACTCACACTCATCTCCCTTCTTCAAAATGCCACGCTCTAGTGTACCTGTCACCACCGTGCCCCGGCCTGGAAAGAAATAGGACAGGAAGGACATCAGGGACCCCGGACCAGGCTATATAGCTAGAGAGGAGTGCAAGAGAACACGGTCCTCACCAGGAATAGAATAAATGGACTCTACAGGCAGCAGGAAAGGCCTCTCCAGGTCTCGGGTGGGTACCGGGATGTAAGTGTCCACAGCATCTAGCAGCTTCTGCACAGACTTCATGCCTAGCTCAGGGTCACGTTGCTATGGGGGAGGTGACAGGACTCTGAAATTTTCATTCTGCTCCTCTTACTAAGACACACTCCCCAGGCTCAGAGCAGAACTCTGGACGCCCATCCATCCAGCCCCATCCTCTGCCAGTAACAGCCCCTGCCTGACCCCGCCTTCACCTCAAGGGCACAGAGGGCAGAGCCTATGATGACCGGGGTCTCCTCCCCTTTGTAGCCAAACTCAGTGAGCAGTTCCCGGATCTCCAGCTCAACCAGCTCCACCATCTCAGAGTCCTGGACAGCATCTGCTTTGTTCACGTACACCACAACGTGCTCTACTCCAATCTGTGGATGGCAAAGAGGCAGAAGTGGTGTCCTGAATGGACCAACTCCCCACTCTTCCTCTTTCCACCCCTCCCCAGGCTCTGAGTACCTGTTTGGCCAGTAATAGATGCTCTCGGGTCTGGGGCATAGGGCCATCATTGGCCGCCACCACCAGGATGCAGCCGTCGAGGGGGGCGGTGCCTGTGATCATATTCTGGGGAGAAGGATAGGAAAACAGCCTAGTTCATGGACCTCCTCAGCTCCACATCCATCTAGCCAAGCACAGCAGTTGAGGGCCACCTTTCTCTGTCGTCATCTTACCACCCACTTTAAGTGGTCATGCCCAAAAATCCATGACCTCAACCCATGCACCCTGAATATCCTAACTTCCCCACAAGTCCAACATTTTTCCTGGCAAGGGACAGCCCATGGCCCTGTACCCAGCAATTCTCTCACCTTAACATAATCTGCGTGACCTGGGCAGTCTGTGTGGGCATAGTGGCGGGCCGCAGTGCTGTACTCCACGTGAGCTGCATTAATTGTGATTCCACGGGCTCGCTCTTCAGGAGCATTGTCAATCTCTTCGTATTTCTTAAATTTCGCTCCACCTCCCTCCGCTAAAACTAAGAGGAAGGAGAATAAATCTCTCAAAGTTCTAAAGGCAGAGGCAGGGCTCAAGCCACACCCGAGTCCCTCCCACCTACTACGCAAAGGACAGTCTGGGAGAATAATGCGTCCATGACCCCCTCCCTCAGTTCCTGCAGCGGGCGTGACCGGGTCAGAAGGACATGTTAAAGGGCTTCTAGCTGCAGCCCTGCGACTTCTCTAGGATAAAGCCTCTGCTTACGGGACACTGGCCACGGCTAGAGAGAAGCCATTCGGGCTCCCCAGCTTATGCATCACAAATCTTTCACGCTCACGGGAAATGCATCATCCAATCCACCGCCCGGGGCCACACCACCTCCAGCAGCACCTCCCGGGCTCCAGTCCCGCCAGCAGAGCGGGCACTTCCGGACGCCCCCGACCCATCCCCGCTTACTCTTCGTGATGGCCGCGGTCAGTGTGGTCTTGCCGTGGTCCACATGGCCGATGGTGCCCACGTTCACGTGGGGCTTGTCGCGCACATAGGTCTTCTTGGCCTCCACGGCCAGGCCACGGCACAAGCGAGGCAATGCCGGGGCCTTCAGCGGCCGCAACACACTCTGCAGCACTGGGGTCGGGCCGGCGCCGAGACCTGCCGGGGCAGAGGCTTGGACTCAGGGCGCCGGTCCGAGCCCGGCCGCTCCCGACGACCCCCACGTGGCCCCGCGCCGCCATTGCCTCCCCCGCCCCCTCACCGCTCAAGAGGGGCGTCGCGCGCAGCAGGGTGGTGGCCGCCATTGTGGTCGCACTCGCGCCCCGAGTATCGGGCCCCGGGCGCCCGCCAGTGCAAAAAGGAAAGGGCACGGGCGACTGGAGGTCACTTCCGGCGGAAGTGAAGGCCCGGAGGGCAAGTCTGGGTCCCTCTAGCCTCCAGTTTTTATGGCCATCTTACGACTTCCGGGCGTGGGACCAAAGACGACACCCGGAAGGGGCTGGTGTCTCGGGGACGGGGAGGGAGGGGGACGGTTTCCAAGGCGCTCTCAGGCCTCGCGGACGGACGGGAGCAAAGCGGTTCTCTCTGGCGGCGCGGGGAAGCGACGTGAAGCATCCCGTCGCGCACCAGCGCCCCGGAGGCTCATGGGTGTTGTAGTTCCCGGGGCGGCGCGCTGTGTTTGCGCTGGGCGTGGGAGTCAGGTAGAGCGAGGCGGGGCCCGGAGTGAGGGTGCGGGCTCCCGGAGGCCGAGGCGGCGGCTCCGGCGCGGCCTGCTCGGGAGCGTCCTGGCCCAGAGCCCCGTGGAGTCCGACCCACTGCGCGGGTCTGGCGAGAGATCTGGCGGCCGTTGAGCCGCCGCTGGAGGTAGGACCAGGCCCTACGGCCAGACTGAGGGAGACAGGCCTGGGAGCCATGCGCGGGTGGGGCGCAAGTGTGACCCATCTCTCCGCGGAGCCTTTGTTTTCTTATCTGTAAAATGGGAACAGTAGTATCTACCTCATGGGGAGATTCTGACGTCTGGCTCTGAGAGAAATGAGCTGGACAAGAGGCGGGAATGGAGGCCAGGGGCCTCCAGGTCCCACAGTCCCTGACCGTCAAATAGCGCCCCCCTCCTGGCTCACAGCCTGCGGGGACAGACAGCTTTGCCGTCCACCCCTGGGTCCCCTCAGCAGGCCAGGGACTAATTCCCTTAATCGTCGCCCCACCCGCCCACCTGGTTATACAGATGATACGCAGGGTGAGGGACCGGCCTCAGGTGCCTGTATACGCAGCCTGAGTCTTGTTCCCTCGGTGGCCCCAGCACCGAACACAGGGCGGGGCACCCAGCGGGCGCTCAGGGAATTTGTGTTGGGATCTGGGATTCACTCATGTGAATGAGTGAGTGCAAGGCTAGCATATGACCTTTAACTTTCACATCCATCATGTCATCACCCCGGGATGAGAACAGCAGCTGCTTAACCCTGATGGATGTTTCCCGAACTCATCGGATCCCAAGACTCCGTGGACGGTTTTTGGTTTCAAATAGATGCCCTAATTCCTCCCTTGAAAATTATGATTCAGGAGGGTCTGAGCACAGAGAGGGAAACTGTATTTATTTATAACACACACGGCTTCCCAAGCTCGAAGGAGTTTGGGAAACTCAGAGCTAGAGCTCTGCATGAATCAGGCGTTGTGCAAATGCTTCGGATTGGTTCACATTCAGCGCACCCTGTGTTACCCTGTGTGGTTGGAGCTATTCTTTCCCCCATTTTACAGGTGAGAAAACGGAGCATCAGGGTGATTTCGGAACCCAATCCAAGTGAACTCCAAAAAAGTGTGCACTTAACCACCGCCCGGTACTGTCATTCAGCTTCAATTTACTGCTCAGATAAAATGAAGAACCTGCTAAGACTTCTGTCCTCCTGGCCCTCCAGCCCATCAGCTCTGCTTAGGAAGGGCTGGTGCCATAACTAAAGGTTTTCTTTGGCTTTATCCCGTACCTCAGTCAGTCATTCCTGGGAATTTCGTCTAAGACACTATTGGCCATTATCAAAATGTAAGATTCTTGGGGTGTGGTACTTGAACGAATGCTTTCTGTTTTAGTGGTGCTATATTTATTTGAATGTATATTAGTTTGAAAAAAAAAAACTGGGGTGGCAAATACTGAGATTAAAAAATGAGTCAATTTAAAAAACAGCATGTGGTAGTGATATTATGGGTAGTATAAACATATGGCAGATTTGGGGGCAGGTGGTACATGAACAACTGAAATTTGAGAAACACAGCACTCAGAAAAGAGTCCAGAGGGAGAGGATTTTTTGTAGAGCTGTTGACTGTAGCATCCTGTGTAATAGTTGGAAGTCTTGATTTACAGACAACCGAATTTACATTGGCTGGTTTACGCAAAAGAAGGATTTGTTTAAGGGTTTGAGTCAGCTTACAGAATTGTGGAACGGGCTGGAGAAACAGCTCCCGAGCCTTAGAACTGACCTGACGTGGGAAGAAGAGCGCTGCTCCCGCCACCGCCACGAAACACTAATGGCCAGGGCTTAGACTCGGCCGCGACACCTCCTGCTCATGGCACCAAAGCCACTTCTGCCTCAAGAAAGTGGCCTTGCCTCCCTCCCGACCCTCCTGCCCCCAAAGTCAGCCAAATCCAAAGCCTCCCTTGAACGCGTCTGATTGGAGAAGCCTAGATCGTCCTGTGTCCATGTCTTGTACAGAGGAGCCTGGGACAAGCTGCCTAACTTGGATGTTGGAGAGCAGGAGTGCTGGCGGGACTCTCCCCAGATGCCCAGCCATGCCTGGGACCCCCAGCACAGGGAACACACGTCCAGCAGGTGGCTCTGGGGCTGTCGGTTTGGCATGGCCCCTAGATGAGGTAGTAATAGAGTGGGCTCAGAGTTGCAGAGACCAGGGGAGCCAACCACGTGGGCAAATGCTTGTGAGCAGTGCCAGATGAAGAAGGAAGGCTGGCTGCTGTAGAAACATAGCAGGTGGGGGTTGGTGGGATGGGCGGGCGGACGACAAAAGGAAGTGGAGAACAATCAGGGCTTTAGGAGGCTGTGAATTTGCTTGGAGAAAGATTTTTCTCTTTCAGACATGTATTTTGAGTGATTAGAGTTAAAGACACGTTCTTTGTGCAGAATCTTGAACTCTTTAAAAAGACGCTCTTGAAATCAAATGGCCTTTTGGGTCCCCCCAGCAGTCTGTGCCTTTGAGCCCCTGCTTAACAGCCATTTTTCCATCTTCCTACAGACGGGGCCCTGATTTTGTTCACAGTGATCCTTTCCCCAGTTCCGGGAATAAATCCTGACAGGCCACGTCTACTTCTGATGGTCCTATTCTCCTTGCCAGGGGCTTTGTTTAGGGTTGGGTGTGTGACTTCTTTGGGGCCCATGATTGGTAAGAGGAGATCTACTTTGGGGGGCTTCCAGGAAAGGGTCCCTCGCCCTCAAGGAGACATGAAAGGGATGGACTGCCTTCTGACTCTGGATGCAAAGCCTGGAACTACTCTGCCCATCTTATTTCCAGTCAGTGATGAAGCCAAAATCCAGAAGAGGGCAAAACAGAGGATTTTAGAAGACTGGACTCCTTGTGGTGTGATGACGAGTGTCCTTACTATTTAAGCCGACTATGTCACAGTTGTCTGTTTGCATTCAGATACCTCCTAACAGATAACCTGTCTTACAGCACTTGATACCCTGGGACATATTTCTTGGTTTCATTTGTCTGAGACCGAGTGGCCTGAGTAGGGCCAGGACTGGACTTCCTTTATGTCTGTATCCTCTGCCTGGCCACTGTAGGGCTCCGCATGATTGCACCTGACCTATTAATGAGCCTTCCAAACTGAAGGGTGCCATCAAGTGGTGCGACAGACCTAACATGTCCAAAACAGGACCCTTCATTCTCTCCCAGGCTCTGCTTCCACCTCTGAATAAACAATGCCACCTTTCTCCCTTCCCCTCAACCCCGATTACCCAGTCCTGCTGGTTCTCTCTCCAAAATATATCTCGGATGTGACCATTTGTCTGTCTACACTGCTGACCCTGTGGTTCAGTCTGGGATCATCTGTCACCTAGGTTAGCTCACAACCTCTACAATGGGTCTCCAAGCTCCCGTTCTTCTCGATACCTGGCAAATCCATCCCCACACAGTAGTTACATCAGCCTTTAAAATGTGGATCAGAAGGGGCACTTGGCTGGCTCAGTTGGTAGAGCATGCGACTTTTTTTTTTTTAAGATTTTTATTTACTTGAGAGAGAGAGCATGAGCTAGGGATTGGGGGGAGGAAGGGGCAGAAGGAGAGGGAGAAGCAGGCTCCTCGCTCGATCCCAGGACTCTGGGATCGTGACCTGAGCCAAAGGCAAATGCTTAACCAGCTGAGCCACCCAGACACCCTGAGCATGCGACTCTTGATCTTAGGGTTGTGAAATCGAGGCCCACGTTGGGTGTAGAGATTAATTAATTAAATAAAATAAAGATTCCCTTTCAAATTTTAATTAAGTGTGGATCAGAAATTACCCCCCCCCATGACTCCTTACTACACTTAGAATAAAACCCCAACTCCTTCTTTAAATGGGCAAACTGTATGGCAGGTGAATTATATCTCAATGAAACTGTTATATAAAAATCCAAACTCCTCCCTGTGGCCCACCTGTTTGACCCGAACTAGGATGATTTTCCTCTCACTTGCTCCCAATCGCACTGGCCATTCTGTTCTGCGAATATCCCACAATTGTTTCTACCTCGGGCTCTTTGCAGATCTTCTTCCTTCTCCCTGGAGTGTCCTTCCAGCTCCACCTCAGATGTCACCTATCTAAAGTAGCCCCCCCTGCCCGAGGCCCACCCTCTTCTCAGTGGTCCATTTTGGTTTTCTTCATAGCACCTAAATGTCTAAAATTATCTTATTAGTTCACTTGTTGGTTGGTTTGTGGGATTGTTGCTGTTCCCTGTCTTACCAGGTCATGACAGTAAGAGCTTTTTTTTTTTTTTTAACTCTATGAACAGTGCCCAACTAACAGTCAGGTGAAGAAGTATTTGTTGAAGGAATTATATGTTGAATTATTTCAGTTGAGCATGTGTGTTGGGCTTATTAAGTGTCCTGATGTTTTTGATGGAAAGCAAATTTTGTATTCACATTCACGTTAAAAATAAAGGTGAACCACTGTAACTTCTGAAGTCTCTGCTTTATTATCCATAAAGTGGGGATGGAGTGAGGAAGTTCAACTTTATGATCTCTAAGATTTCTTGCAGCTCTAACCTCTAAAGGGAGGGTGGGGTCTGGTGTCACTGAAATGAGTACTAGGCTGGTCAGCAACTTAGTGGCAAATGGGGCACTAGGGCCCAGAGCTTTGTCCTCAGTGCCCCTCAACAGACTTATTGGAAGCTCAAGGGCATTCTTCAGTCTTCCCCACCAGCCAGCCTTGGCAGTGCCTCCTTAGAAATCTCACTGGCTATTGTCCTTGGTACTAACCCCACTGAACTGCCCTGGCCAGGTCAACATCAGCCCCTCCTGGACCACAGCACCCGTCTTCTCTCTGCTTCTGGTTCCCACCCGCCCCCATGCCGGCCCTGGATTTCCTTCCAAACACAGAAATCTGATCACCCCCCTGTCGCCCAGATGTGACTGAAGACATTCCAACTGGAAACACTTCGTGAATGTCACACAAAAGCTACTGAGTAGAAGGCACTTTAGAGGTGGCATAGGTGGACTGACCATCCATGGCTTCCTAGAGGAGGCCGCACTTCGAAGCCTGAAACCAGAGGGAGGAAGATTGGCAGAAGTGGGGGAAACGGCTATATGGAGGTTCAGAGGCAGAGCCTAAGTGAAGCTGGAGTATTTTAGGCTGTCAAAATGTCCTGGCTGAGCAGAGTATGATTTGGAGGGGGCAGGAGGTCCTGACCAAAGCACCAAAGCTGAATTTGACATCCCACAATAGAAGACAAAATAGGAGAAATCCCCATCTCTTGGGGTGAGGTAGGGTCAACCTCCAGAAGAAGCCCACAAGCAACCACTTCCCCTTCTGTCAGAGACCCTGGTTATCCTCTGAAGAGCCACCTCTGCTGTGCTCAGCCCATCCCAATCTCGGATGATGGGTGTCTGATCCAGTGTTTACCAGTCGGCATAATCTATCCCTTGTGATCACAAATGTTGGTTCAGGGTTAGTATTCTGTTTCAACCCCAACTAGTGTACTGAGGTTCAGTTCTGGCACTAAGTGCCCAGAGTTAATTCAGACTCCACAAATTAAGAGCTCGGTCCTCCCCAGACTGCCCCCATTTCAGATGTGAGCTGCACGTGGAGTCCCCCAGTCATCTTCACTTCTGACCAACTTGCTACAGATCTGGAGTTTCCCACGGCCCCCCTCCCCCTCAGGTGTGATAATTTGCTAGAACAACTCACAGAATGCCGGAAAACACTATACTTTTGCTAGAACAACTCACAGAATGCAAGAAAACACTATACTTAAGATTACAGTTTTACAGTAGAGAATACGAGTCAGGAACAGCCAAATGAAGAAAGACATAGAGTGGGGTCTGAGAGACCTGGTTTCATTTCTTCGGCACGATTGATTAAATCATTGCCATGTGACTGAATTCAATCTCTAGGTCCCCTTCCCCTCCCTGGAGGTCTAGCTGCCTCAAAACCCCAACCCTATGGGACACCTGACTGGTTCAGTCAGAAGAACAGGTGACTTTTGATCTCAGGGGTTGTGAGTTCAAGCCCCACAATAGGTGTAGAGATTACTTATATAAATACATACATACATACATACATACATAAATCTATCTTTTAAAAAATACCAACCCTCTACGGGGCGCCTGGGTGGCTCAGTCGTTAAGCGTCTGCCTTCGGCTCAGGTCATGATCCCGGGGTCATGGGATCGAGCCCTGCATCGGGCTCCCTGCTCGGCGGGAAGCCTGCTTCTCCCTCTCCCACTCCTCCTGCTTGTGTTTCCTCTCTTGCTGTCTCTCTGTCAGATAAATAAATAAAATCTTTAAAAATAATAATAATAAAATAAAATAAATAAAATAAAATAAAAAATACCAACCCTCTAATCACCAGGATAGTCTTTCTGGTGACCAGCCCTTATCCTGAAGGTATCTAGGAGCTTGCCATTAGTTACCTCATTAGCTAAAACTCGGGTGTGATCTAAGGTGCACTTCTGTTACTTGGTAAATTTCAAGTACTTTTAAAGTTATGTGCCAGGAAGCTGGGACAAAAACCAAATTCTTCATTATGCCTGGTGATCCAGGCGGAGCTGATGAGACTCAATCCTGTTGCGTTTGCTGGAGCCATTGAGAAAGCTATGATCTTTCTCCACTGGGAATGTTAAGCTAGTAGGATGTATGCTCGGAGCTGCTGGTTGCCATTTTGCTACCTACGAGGGGACAATCTGCCTAAGAATTAAGACAGTCCAGAGGAAAGCAGAGCTAAGAGACTGAGACCAAGTTCAAATGGACATTATTTGAGCCTCGGGCTTCAGCCACACCTGAAGTCATTCTACCTCTGATTTTTCAATTCTGTGAGCCTCGGATGTGAGGGCGATCTGGCTGCGACATCTGTCACCCCATTGATCGCCAGGGTTGATTCGGCTGATCTGGCTGGCTAGGCGGGTGTCCCCTTCCTCCCTCACCACTCCATGTGCGTCCCTCCCGAAGCTGCGCGCTCGGTCGAAGAGGACGACCTTCCCCGATAGAGGAGGACCGTTCTTCGGTCAAGGGTATACAAGTAGCTGCGTTCCCCTGCTAGAACCTCCAAACAAGCTCTCAATTCTGTGAGCCTCTTTTCATGTTTAAAGCTACCTTAAATTGGGAGTGGATGGGGGGGTTCCATTACTGGTAGCTAAAAGCATCCTATCACATACTCTGTTCCTGAGGAACACGTGTTTCTCCCTTTTACATTAATACCTTGGCTTAATGTGGGCTCTGGATCCTACCATTCCCACCTTCCCCAAACCTCACTCCTCCAATTACTATCCTCTCTACTGGCTCCTTTCCCTTTAGACTTTCCACATGATCAGGTCTCCCTCAGGACAGCTCTCCATACTCCTCCTCCCGTTTCTTCATCTTCCATTCATTCCTCAGTCCACTACCATTTGGCTTCTGCTTCTACCCCTTCCTTAAAATTACTCTCACCAAAGTCCCTAAACAGTATTAGTTGATGAGGGATAGAAGCAGAAAAATATTCACCTTTAGCCCGGAAAGCTGACCTAAAGCCTGCATACCTCCGATAAAGATCAAATACGTGCTGGCTGCTACATTCTAAAGAGTCTCATGACTGTCTGTACGTGTCACCGATAGTTAATATCCAACTGCATGATAAGCACCAGAGAAATCTTGCGAAAGTAGTTTTATGAGTAGAAATTCGAAGAAAACATGTATGATCTAATATTCCCTGCACATCCCCTCCCCCTTTGAACACTAAGCATAGAACCACCAGCTTCATACAGCAAAGGTGCCACTCTTTCTGCCCACGTGTCTTGTCCCCATGCTACAATAAAAACACCTTTTTGCACAAAAACATCTCAAGAATTCTTTTTTGAATGTCCACTCACGGCCCCATATCATTAGTCATCAATGTTTTCTGCAGGAGACAATGGCAGTGCCCTGGATCCCTTTTTAATCATTTGCCTGTGATGTGTCTGACCAAGTGCCCCCACACATGCACACATTCTCTACTCCTACCCCCACCCCCGGTCTTTGTTGTGTGGTTCCTCTTCCAACAGTTAGAACATCCAGATTTTTTTTCTGTTTTGGAGGAATGCCTTCAGGCTACTGGAGGCTTTGCCTTGATGAATCGACGTCTCCAAGAGTGTCACTTGGTCAACAGCTGAGGCATGTAGGTATATGAAAGGCCCCATTCCCTTGTTTCTGGACAAATCTGACACATAACTTTCATCCAGAGCTCCCCTGCAGGATCAAGTTGAACTACTCTTTGCCTGAGAGCACATGTTTGTTTGGTTTCCTCTCCTTCCCTCTCCTGCTCCTCTCATTCTCTTAGTTACACTGTTTGACGAAATCACTTGCACACAAATCCTCATCTCAAGGTCTGCTTCTGAGAAACCTGACCCAAGACACCATCTCAGCACTTTCTACTCCGCTTTTGCTGCCTACCTGATAAATGTGGCTTGTTTTCCAGAATTAGGTCCTGGGCCCTATTCTCTCTACAGATATTGCTTGGACAAGCTCACTCATGTCCATGGCTTCAACCACTACTCACTCTGATCATCCCCAAACTCCTTTATGCAGCTGGACTGTAGCTCCCTGTCTGCTGGACAGCTCCACCTAGCTGTCCACAGACCACCCCCACCCCGCGCTAACGCTGTAGTCACTAGCCATGTGGCTAGTTTAATTAATTAAAATTTAAATTCCGTTCCCTAGTCCCGCCAGCCACATTTCAAGTGCTCAAGAGCTACATATGGCTAGTGGCTACTGCACTGGAGAATGTCGATATAGACATCTGTCATGGCAGAAAGTTTTATTGGACAGCTTAGACACATTTCCAAACCTAACTTATCATCACCAGCCCCCTGCCTTTCTATATTCCTCAACTGTGTCTCTCTCCTAGAAACGGTGGGCAGAAACTACAGAAACTAGAAACTACACAGAAAGGGTGCATAAGGGCTTCAGGGGGGAGGGAGGGGACCACGGGACGAGTCTCTTCCATTGATATCTTCCTCTGAACTGGGAAGATGGATGGGCAAAGATGGTGATGAAGACCTTAACAAAGGCCATCTGTGAGCTGATCTTAGATCGGTTAGAACGGGAGGAGAGCTGGGGGACGAGGGCCGGCTAGGCCAGAACTCGCCCTCCACAATGAAGTTTTCCAACTCCACCCAGCTTCAGCCTTGAATAAACGTTCTTGTGTGAATTAGGGCCTTTATCCATCTCCAGTCTCTTGTGTTCCAGGATGAGTATCTGATCGAAGCCAATCAGCTGCGGAGCGGGGGTGGGGGGCGGGGGTGTCAGTTCTGGAAATTTTATTGCAAATCTCAGAAATGCAGGTTCCTTCTACTTGAGTTGTTAAGCTATTGGGACTTCAGTCTGGAGCCATGTAAAGCCATTTTGCCACTGAGGTAGGCCTACCTGCGAGTGAAGCCAAATGCATGGGGAAAGCAGAGGCTAGAGAAGGTGAACCGCAAATTCCTCATAGCTTTTGGCTTTTTTTT